TCAAATGAAGCTATTGTTGTAAGCTATGCTTTTGGGACTGAACTTATTCTTTGGTTAAAGCAAAATGCTCTGGTCATGGTCCCCAAGACTGATTGGTGTTCACCACAATAACCACAGCAATCCTAACAAACAGGCCACTGTTCTGAACTGACAGGCATTTGGCAACAGCCGACAACTCTCCGGTGGCAGCTGAAATGAATTGACGAAGAAGTGTGAATTGAGACGCCCCAGTCTAGCCGGGCTCTGTTTATTCCTTGCATTTGTGTTCTAAGAGCCAGTGACCCAGACTTCAGCCTGATGTGAAACATGTCTGCAGGGGATGGATGACACCAAGTCTATGGGGCTTTCCAGTGAGATTAGAAACATAATGCTTGGGGACAAAAATCACCAAAGAGCAGTATGGGTAGAGAACACTGAAATTTGAGACAATGTGTTAACAAGTGAAAGGGAGATTTGAAGCCACATAGATCTATGTCCAGATCCCAGCTACTTACAGGCTGTCACTCATGTTCCTTCTTTCAGATTCTCATTTGATTTCTAATTTAAAAATATTCCGTAGATATTTTTGTTGGGACCCCTACATGGAAGTCTATTCCATCTTGCCATGAGTTCTGGGAGCTCAAAATCACTTCTATTGTCTTTAAGATATTAGCTTAACAGCTACAGGATGCCCTGGCCTCCTCGGCCATGAATGGTTCCTATATAAATAACAATAGACATGGGCCCAGGTGAGTTTACACTCATCCTGAAGGCTATGTGATACTTGTAGCTATGAAGCAAGCGCCTGATGGTTAAAGGAGTGTCTTTAGGATTAAGGGAAGTAATTGCTATTCGCCCTTTATACATGATAATGGAAGTCTTCTGCCATTGTCCCCACCTTTGGTTGGTTACTTAAGTTAAAATGATGTATAAATAAACAGAGGCGCATTCAGTATGGGCTGAAACTGCCCTCCTGACACTATCCTTGTAATCCGTCTTTTCTTTAATGTCTATAGCTAGCCTTCTCTCATGCCCCCCCCCACACTCAGGAGTGGACCAGGGGCTGATCAGCTGGTCCAACTGCAGCCCCACAAACACCAGTCCTCGACACATTTTACAAAATCAAAAATGTTAGATGTACAATGACAGTATACTCTTAAAAATTTGTTTATTCAGCTATCTTACCTAATACATTTTGTTCTCTTGAGGGCAGGGACTTTTTTTGCCTCTATTTCTGCAAAACCTAGTGTAAGACCTCCGGAAGCTCAGGCCTCCAGGGTCTTTTCCCAGGACCACAGCCACCCCAATCACCATGAAGAGGCGGAAACTTGATGCAAACAGCAAGAGGCTTTAATGAAAGGTGAACATTTGTACAAACGGGCTCTCTCAGCATGCAGGCTAGAGAGCAGCCCCGTCCCCCAGGCACAGGCGTTTTTAAAGGCAAAAACCACAAGCTTAGGGAGGCCTCGACTCTCTCAGTCCATTGAGTTTGTGACCAGAGTCATGGGTTCCTAGGAGGCCCTTTGTCTTGAGGGGAGGCCTGGGAATCAGATGGCCTCCTGACCCACCAGTTGTAAAACCTGCAGACCTCAGGTTTCACAACTACAAACCTGCTAACAAATCTTGCCTGAGCAAATGGTAGCTATCTCTTGTTTCATAGGGACCCTTAATTGTTAATTATTGACACATTGGCCGGTGGGCAATCTGTTTCCTTCATGAGCCCCTTGGGGAGGGTGGCCATCTGGGAATTCTTGGTACCCAGTTATCTTATGGCCTTGTAAGGGAGTAATTGCTGGAGGCTGTTAAATTCCAGGCACTAAGTCGTAGTAGTGGCCTTAGTCAGTTTCTGGGTTAGGCCGCCCTACATTCCTTTTGGAGAGTTTCCTTATCTGGGCTATATTTATTTGCTAATTTTTAAGTCTTTCACTAGCAAGTGCCCAGCACATCATAAATACTGGGAAATACTCTTTAAAAAAATGATCAACAACAATGGCAGCTAGTTTTTGTCTTTTTTATTTTTATTTATTTATTTTTTTGGTTTTCTGTTTTTGAGATAGGGTTTTTCTATGTAACAGCCCTGGCTGTCCTCTGTAGACAAGACTGGCCTCAAACTCAGAGATCTGCCTGCCTCTGCCTCCTGAGCTGGGATTAAAGGCGTGTGCCACCCCTGACCAACTATGGTAGCTAGTCAAATTAATAATGAGAAAAAATAATTTTTGTTTATAGCTGTATTAAGAAAAAGTGAGAAATTAACTTCTGAGAATTGGAGGCATTTGAAGGGAGGAATGCCCCCTTTCTTTCTCTTTTCCATTGCCGGAGACTGAACCCAGAGCCTTGAACATCCTAGGCATGTGTTCTGCCACTGAGCCACATTCCTGGCCCTCCTTTTATTTTTTGAAATGAAGTCTTACTACATGGCCCTGGCTAGTCTCAAACTCTCTCTCTCCCCCTCCCTCCCCTCCCTCCCTTCCCTTCCCTTTCCCAATCAAGTGGGCCTCCAATTTGACACCCTCCCACCTCAGCCCGTTTTGTGTCTTATTTATTTATATTTATGTATGAGCAGTTTGACAGAGTCCAGAAGAGGGGTATAGAAATTAGCTAAAGGAGCAGTGCCTTCAAAATACCCAAAGATAGCCGGGTGGTGGTGGCACACACCTTTAATCCCAACACTCAGGAGGCAGATGCAGGGGAATCTCTGTGAGTTCAAGGCCAGCCTGGTCTACAGACCTAGTTCCAGGACAGCTAGGGCTGTTATACAGAGATAACCTCTCTAGAAAAACAAACAAATATCCAAAGATAAGAAGCATACTAACCAGGCTTCTTAGACAACTCAAATTCAGGATGCTAGGATATAAATATTTACTCGTCAGTATTGACCAGAGGCCATTAGGTCATATCTGCCATTAGACATACCTCTCAGAGGGTGGCTCAAGAGGGCATTTTAGGGCCATAACCACCATCAAGTCCTAGTCTTCAGTTAAGTCCCCTATGTTCTTAACAGGAAAGACATAGTTTTGCCAGGTGGACAAGATGATCCTGGGTAACAGCCATTCAAAAAGGAACAACACTGGTATACTTAAAATAATTCTGGAAATAGGAAATATGTTTGCTTTGTAAATCTTTTATGTGCCTAGAAGGCCCGACTTGCAGTATCCTGTCTCTGTTTAAATTGATCAAAGTGTAACCTGGGGCTGGGACCTGAAAGAGACTTAAGGATGACACTAACTTGTATATGCTTTAGTAAATCTTCTGTTAAGGCCAACTCTAACTTAGGCATTAACCACAGATGGCCAGGCACGTTAGTACAGAGCTTTTCTTCCTTCATCTCTAAGTGGGAGGAGTGATTTTAGGAAGGCATATTATTTCTATAGCAGGATCTCCTGAAACTAGAGGAACAGACCAGTTGTGAGCCATCACCTGGGTACCGGTAACCTAACTCAGGTCTTTAGCAAGAGTAGCAAATGCTTTTAACCACTGAGCCTTCTCTACTGTTTTGGTTTGTGGAATGCCCTGTGTATATGTCTGTGCATATGTAATCTTAATGTCTGGCTTATATTAGTTTTTCCTATATATCTTTTATTTTTTGATGCTGCAATTTCTTAATTTAAGCATGTTTTCTCAAGGACTCTTTCTTACGTTAAAGTTTGTTATAGCTAGATAGTTATTTCTGGTGGTGGTTTCCTCCTCCTCTTGACTCTCCATTCCAAACCTGACAGTTTTCTTCTAGGTCCAGGCAGTTCACAGCCAGCAGATGGCACCATAGTAGGAATCGACAGAATTCCTAGTCTCATGACTCAGTGCAGCACTTTCACCCAGATTCTCTAATAAAGCAGACTGAACTGTCTATAATTAAAGGTTCCAGCTTACAAAATAGAACCTATAGCTTTGTCTGCAGTACCCTACTCCATCATTAGACTGATGGCTTTCATCATCTTGTCAAAATATCTTCAGAGAAGCCATGATAGGGCAGATTTCTGAATAAAGTGCCTGAGGCGGCCCCAGCATGCCTTAAGTGCAGGAGACAAAAGAAACTCTCCTGGTAGTTTAAGAAAAAGAAGAAAAGAAGGGAAGTCATCGGAATGATTCTGACAACGGAGTGAAATACGCGGCTTTTGTTGTAAAGTTCCTTGTTTCCTTTACAAAATTTCGACCGAGTTTGTCTAGATTTCTGCCAGGAGAAGCCACCCAGCAAGGGCAGTCCCTGAAGTCTGAGTACCTACTGCTGCGTCCCCCACCCTCCTCCCCTCTTTGGGTTTCAGATATTTATTACAGGACATGGTACTACTGCGGAGCATAGAAGCAAAACAACAAACAAACAACTGTATCCCCAAGAGGACAGGTTCAACTCCCCTGACAGTAATGCTGTTTTCGGCTTGCTATGGTAAGATGAAATGGCCCACACGTGACCCACCTCATTCATGTGCAGTTTCTTTAGAGACCCAGCCTGGTTGCCGATGTCCTCTTGAAACTATACCTGATTTCATTACCAGTTGTTACCCTTGAGCTTGTCTGGCTAGATTTGTTGTTACCTAAATGCGTAGGAGGAAAAGGGATGGTTTTCTTTTGTTTCTTGGTCAGAATCACCTGATGCTGAAAGTCTTGTTCTCAAGAGGATAGGGCGTAGAACATGCTCTGGCACACTGCGTGGTGGAGAAAAAGAGCATAGTTCTTCTCCCAGGATCGCAGGCAGGCTGCTGCGCGCGCACACACACACACACACACGCACACGCACACGCACACACATACACACACACGCTGCGCGCGCGCGCACACACACACACAAAGCGGTCGACAACACACACACACGCTGCGCGCGCGCACGCGCGCGCGCGCGCGCACACACACACAAAGCGGTCGACAACACACACACACGCTGCGCGCGCGCGCGCGCGCGCACACACACACAAAGCGGTGACAGACACACACACACGCTGCGCGCGCGCACACACACGCACACACACGCTGCGCGCGCGCACACACACACACACACAAAGCGGCAGACAGACAGACAGACAGACAGACAGACAGACAGACACACACACACACACACACACACCAGCAGCAGCAGCAGCCACAGCGCAAATCTAGCCAGACAAGCTCAAGGGGCAGACATCTGGTTGCCATGACCACAAAGGAAGCCTCGCAGGCCATGCTCGCCTCACGCTACGTAGGGACGCAGACACTACGCTGGCAGGGTCCTCAGCTCGACGAACTGCTAGTTATGTCTGATTGAGTTCGGCGTTCGCCTCTCGGCCCTTGCGCTTGCGTACTACGGCTGGTTCCCGTCGCCGCGGCCCGGATCGGGAAGTGTCAAGTGGGAGCCGGGTTCCCCCGCCTTCGCCATCGCTACTGCTGAACCCGGACCCCTCATCCCGGCCGGGCACTACCGCCATGACGAACGGTGAGAGCTGGGCGCCGTAGCGGAGGGTGGCGGTAGAGGCCCGGGCACAGGCGTGGCGGGCGGGGCTGGACTGACGTGGCCGTTCCCCCCGCCCCCTCCCAGCCCAGCCCCCCTGGGCCTTGGGGAGCCCCTAACTCCTGTCTGGGATGCTTCTCCCAGCTTCCTTGTTCTCAAGTCCACCGGCGTTCCCCAGGCTGCCTGGTGCCCACACCTGACTTCTTGGTTATTACCCTTTCTTTTCTTTCCTAGAAGTTGGTTCTGGCCGTTGGGAAGATCGGTCCCCATAGAATTAGTGCTGTTAGTCCCCAGGGAATAGAGGATATCATCAAGTTCCCTAAAGTCTCATACTTTCGGACAATAGGCTGGTTGAGAGGACCAAGAAATGATATCAAACCTCCCACTTTGCGGGAGAGGTGAATGTAGACAGACAATCCCCAAAGTTTTTTGTATGTTTGTTTTTGTTTTTGTTTTTACGACGAAAAGCCTTCCCTTGTTTGGTTTTAAAGTCCTAGCTGGGCGGTTCCATCCGAAGATTCTGGCTTGTGCTCCAAAGGGTGGATTTAGAAGCCGCCTTTTGTTACCCTTGGAGCACTTGCGCCCCTGTTTATCTCACTTAAACTTTTCTAGGCTGCTTCAGACAATTTTATAGTCATGAATTCCAAGTTCTAGAGGAGGATTTAAGACCTTTATAGTCAGTCTTACAGGAAAGCAAGTGAGAAAGTTTTTTAGGCATTATGATTCGAGCAGCTCAGGAAAAGCATTCCTCATCGGCTTCCATAGACTTGACATTGAAGACTCTAATGTCATTTGAGTCTTGTGAATTTTGTCATTGTCCACAAGCAAAAGAATAGCACATACAGGTGCCCACTAAAACTGAGTTTACTGATGTACTGAAACAAGCTGTGTAATAGTTTCATTGGAGGAAGACTGACAGTGTGGTCCAAGAACTGGGAGGAACTGGCAGGCACTGCTTGTATGTAATACCCATTTGAAGATTTCTGGGTAGTCAGTCTTACCATAGTACACAGAGTTAGAAAAGGAACATCACCCAGATGTGAACTTGGAAGTAGAACATTCTGGTGTAGTGGATAAAATTTACCTTTATGTAATTCATTTTGCTTACCTAGGTAGCACATGAAACAGAGCTAAGACCTTTCCACAGTGTCTAAGCATCAGACACGTTTTTGTTTTGTTGTTTTTGAGACTGGACTTTGCATGATGTATGTGACACACCTCTAAGCTTGGCATTGGGAAGAGGGAGGGAGGGAGGCAGGCAGACCATGAGTTTAAGATCAGCCCTGCCTACCTAGCAGGACCCTGTCTCAAAAACAAAAATAGGACATTGTAGCTTAGGTTGAGCTTTGATAATGCCAGTGTTATAGGAGTGCATCATTATGGATGCATTTTTGGGATATCAGTTTTTTTTTCTTATTCCCTTATGTATACCTTTTATTCTGGCAGGAGTCTGATTTGTAAATGGTGACTCATGCTTGAAGTATCAACTGAGTATAGCAAAAGTGTAGCCATATGAAGTCTAACTCTTGGAATTTCTCTTAAGCTTTATGGTCTGCCTTACAATGCGTTATCAACAGATGCAGATCTTAGAAACTTGACTAAACATTGAACTTTCCTTTATCAGATCTGTGATTTATACCAAGAACATATGTCAATCTTTATGCTCAGACTCTCAAGATCCTTAAAACCTAGTACAAGCACCAGCTACTCCTAAGAGACTAGGTCCATACAAATAACACACGTTTTCAGTTTGTACTGGGGATGGGGCAGTAAAGTGGTAAAGGGGCTGTTTACAAGCAAGTTGGGGAGATGGTGCCAAGTATTGGACCCTTCCTATTGAGTATTGGCACTGCTATTAAGGTGATCTCTGGGCAGGCGCACCTCTCCCAAGCTAGAGCATCACCAAAGACTTCCTTTTCTTCTTCTTCATGTGACAGTGTACTCGTTGGATGGGATTCTGGTGTTTGGTTTGCTTTTTGTTTGCACCTGTGCCTACTTCAAGAAAGTACCTCGTCTCAAAACCTGGCTACTCTCAGAGAAGAAAGGAGTTTGGGGTGTGTTTTACAAAGGTAAGGTCTTATCTGGACACAGAGAGGAGATGGAGATTTCTGGGCCCCGTGGTTCTATAAACTAGAAAGTGTACAGCTGGGGTTATATTTGGATTCATCTTTAGTATGTGAGTGTATGTATGATGTGTTGTGGGTGTGTGTTTGCTGCTATGCACACCTGGCTAGCCGGCCTGTGAGCCTCCAGGAGTTGCCCTGCCTACTTATCTTAGAGATGCTGAGAGTACAGATGTGTGTGTGTGTGGGGGGGGCTCTGGCCAGCCTTATGTGGCTTCTGGGGTTTTAACTTAGGTCCTCAGGTTTATGTGTTAAGTTGTCTGCCCAGCATCTGTTAATAATATAAAATAGTCATTTCTAAAGTTGAGGGAAGAGGTAAATTTTAAATTTGCTGTTATTTAAGGCATACTTGTTTATTTTACTATCTAGGTAGTTTTGGTATTCTTGGATTAACTAAAAGTTTACAATGCCAGGTGTGGCACTTGCTTATAGCCCCAGCTACTTAGGCCAAGAAGCCAGTGTGGGCAACAGAGTGATATTTAGTCCTGGGGTGAAGTGGGGATATATTACAAGTTATATCATTTTAGGCTGGCCTGAGATTCTTCTTAGCAGGAAGAATTTTTTATATTTATTTTATTCATATGAGTACTTTGCCTGTACGCATGTCTGTGCACCATATGCGTGTCTGGTGCCTGAGAGAATGGTGAGCCTCCCTGTGGGTGCTGGGAATCAAACTCAGGTCCTTTGAAAGAACAACAGGTGCTCTTAACCACTGAGCCAACTCTCCAGCCCATCCACTGAATTTTTTTTTTTTTTAACAGAACACATTGGAACCTTAACTTTTAGCGTAATGAATTCATATACATATGTTAACTTTGTTATTTTGGGTACCTTCATCAGGAATCCTTTGTAACTTTTTTTTTTCAAAAGAGGGGAAAAAAAGGACAAATAAAATTACCCATTCCTTTAATTTTTTTTTTTTTTTTTTTTTTTTTGGTTTTTCGAGACAGGGTTTCTCTGTGTAGCTTTGGAGCCTATCCTGGCACTCACTCTGGAGACCAGGCTGGCCTCGAACTCCCAGAGATCCGCCTGCCTCTGCCTCCCGAGTGCTGGGATCAAAGGCGTGCGCCACAAACGCCCGACTTCATACCTGTAATCTTAGCATGCAGGAGTAAGTCCAGCCTAGATTGCATAGTGAACCTTTGACTCAAAGGGATTTGAGGAAATCCAGGCATGGCAGCACATACGTTTTTTGTTGTTGTTGTTGTTTTGTTTTGTTTTTTGAGACAGGGTTTCTCTGTGGCTTTGGAGGCTGTCCTGGAACTAGCTCTTGTAGATCAGGCTGGCCTGGAACTCACAGAAATCTATCTGCTTATCTGCCTCCCAAGTGCTGGGATTAAAGGTGTGTGCTGCAGTCGGGAGGTGGTGGCACACGCCTTTAGTCCCAACACTTGGGAGGCAGAGGCAGGCAGATGGATCTCTGTGAGCTCAAAGACATTCTTGTTCTACCTACAAATTTGAGGCCATCCAGAGCTACAAAGTGAGATTCTATCTCAAAAAAGAAGGAGCAAGGGGATAAGCAATTCGTGTAGAGCCCAGAGCATAATATATCATTTAAGAACATTCCCAGACTCTGCAATCCCTTGGTTTTCCTTAGAGATTTCAGAACATGGCTTTGGAAGGAAGGGTTTTGTGAGGAGCCAGGTGTAACATCTTTTTGCTTTTGTCTTCTAGCTGCTGTGATTGGGACCCGACTGCATGCTGCTGTTGCAATTGCCTGCATTGTAATGGCCTTTTACGTCCTGTTTATCAAATGAATTCCAAAGTATCCCACTCATCAACTGCCAACCAAGGGGATAAAGATGAAGAACTTGTCAGGAGCCTGGACCCAGTGTAGGAGAGTTCATCTAAAATCATCAGTATCCCTAAGATGATACGGCAGCATCTGCCTGCCATATGTGGGGAAAACTCATGGTCACAAACATTATTTTTGCTCCAGGGGACTCCAGAAAGCCAAATTTTTTGATCTCTGTATTAATCAGCCCTCAGAAGCAAGCAATATCTCCAGATAAATCACACCCCTTAGTGATATGATTATGTACCTCCTGCTTAAAAACCTGGGCTGGGTGGTAGCTCAGTGGTAGAGTATTTGCTTAGCATTGTCAAGGTCCTGGGTTTGATCCCCAACACTGAAAAAATTGGTCATCTATTTTGCTCTTCAGTTCCTCCTCAGAACCTTTTAAAACTGATGCTTATTAGGGAAAGTTTTAGGCTGTGTTCAGACTTCCTGGAAGTCCAGACTTTTTTTAAGACATGGTCTCTACATAGCTTTGGCTGTCCTGGAGCTCTCTATGTAGATTAGGCTGACCTTGCCTGCCTCTGCCTCCTGAGTGCTGGGATTAAAGGCGAGTACCAGAAGATAATTTTTAAAACTTGACTTTTTTTTTTCTAATTTGGATCTGGTGAGTTGGGGAGGGAGGGTAGGACCAGGTGGGAAACAGGAGTTGTGAAAGGCCAGGAATGTTTGGCTTTTGGAATGTACTTTTTCTATGCCCATCTGGGAGCTGAAAAGAGCATGGTTCTCAGTGAAGAGAGCACAGATTGCCATGTTCTGCGAGCTTGAGGGTTTCCCCAAGAGAACTTGAGTGTATGGGTAATCCAGGGTTATAGGTTGGGAAGACTAGAAGCAGTGACTGAGACAAGCATTTTCTGCTTACCACTGTCCCCAAAGAAGCCTCCATTTGACCAACTGATAGTAGAAAATGAACCAACTCTTGGTATTTTCTAAAGCTTTTTTAATTCTTTCTAAATGACTTAATACTAAGTACTAGTATTCAGTTTTAAATACCAGTGCTGGGGGAGGGAACTATTGAACAAATAATTGATTAATATGTTTGAAGTTCTGGTAGAAATGATAAGTAAATTAGTATATCAATTCATATACTAGGAAATTATCTAGTATAAGAATTTATTGTAATGAAAGTATATATAGATGGAAACTCTGTCATGTTATAAAAGATGCAAGCTTGTCCTTTAATTTGGGTTACAGCAATTTTTAGTTGTGTCCCTGCCCACTCTCAAGTCTACATACTGCAGTATTTCACTGTTGCATTTACTGTAAGACCATGAGAAATTGAAATGAGAGGAGTCACTGATATTAACATATTGGACAGCTCATAGAATCCATTGATAAAGTGAGTGTGTTACTGAGTAAAAGAAAATGGAGCTTTCCAACTCAGTATTCAGGGCTTTCCCGTGGAGTGTGAGGACAGATGATGTTAGGTGACTCAACATTTGAAGGGAAGACTTCTCCATTCCTTCCTCCTTATGCCTGCAAAAGAATCAGCTTAGGTGTAAGTCTACAACAATCTAAAAATAAAGTAGGTCTAATATTAATGATAATACACAAGGGGATATACATATATATTCCAGTTGAATTGTCTATCAGAAAACTTGATGACAAACACAGTGGCTCACTCCCAGGTGAGTTCTGTCTGCATACACTACAAGAGCAAAGGTTGCTGGGAAGCTTTGGTTCCTATGCATTTGAGTGCTTGGATTGTAGCAGTGTAAAGAAAGGCCTGTGTGAGCAGCTCTCTTCAAGAACCGGTCCACAGGGCAGAGTGCATTGATTGGCTGTTCTCCATTGCCACTCCTGAGGATTGTTCACAGGAGAGAAAAGAAATCTGACGGTTCTGGAGAGATCCTATGAGTGTGCATAGGGGACCTGTTGACCCACTGGGTGTCCCCTGGGAAGCAGGTTCAGTACTGGTTACTTTGTATTTAATGACTTGTTTTCAAATAGGGCTGATGTCTCTGATTTTGGTTTGTAGAGCAGCTTCATTTCTTAAATAGCTTCCATTCTGTGGCTTCTTTCATGGGTCCTTTTGGCCTGAATGCCCAAGTTGGTAGATTTTAAGATGTTTTCTTACCAGAATGTTCCAAAAAAGTACTCAAAGAAGCAAATAGTGTATTTCACTTCTTGACTCTTGACTATGTAAGCAGGTACATAAGAACCTGATGTACGTATTATTTAGGCTGATGTGTCTTGTTTTTGGCAAAGAAAAAAGTGATAAACTGTTCCTCTGGGGGAAGTTCTTTGGGGTGGAGGTATGAGGTAGCAACATTGCTTCAGATTCAGGTTCATCACCATGAACCCTGTACACCAGGGTAAAATGGAATCAGCTCCTTTTTATAGTTGAAATACCATTTTTTATTCACCATCGTTGGCACAGTCCTTGAAAATAAACCTTTTTTTCCCCCTGTGGTGGTTGTCTGCTTTCTTGTGTGTATTTATTGAACTGTTAAGTGTTCCCTTGGGTTCTACCCACAGCTTAGCATGTTGGCTCACCTGTGTGAATATTACCTTCTGATGAGTTCTCCTTGTGAAGGTTACTGGATGCATGATACAGCTCAGAAGATATGTTGGCCAAGTGTTCTCCTGGGGGAACTGAATATAATGAGTAAAAAAAAAAAAAAGAAGTATATTAAGTGAGGTATGTAGACAGAAGAAGTTCCTGTCCTGCCTGGTCCCACAGGCCTTTGGTCCCAAATAAACACATAGAAGCTTATATTAATTATAAACTGGCCTATTGCTCAGGCTTCTTACTAGCTAGCTCTCTCTTAATTATTAATCCATTTCTATTAACCTATGTATCTCTACTTAGTCTTGATCTTGGCTTACTGGTGATGCCCAGGCCCCTTTCTTCATCAGCAGCTACATGACATTTCTCTTGCAACTCACTCGCTGTGTTCCTCTTCCCAGCCTTCTAGTCTGGTAGCTCTGCCTATACCTCCTGCCTAACTACATCCTGCCTGACCATTGGCCAGAACAGTTTTATTCATCAGCCAGTAAAAGAAGCATATATTCACAGCGTACAGAAGGACATCCCCCATCAGAAGTAGGTAGCATGCCTAATACCTTTAACCAGCAGGCCCACTATTAAAAACAAGTGCCATTTGACATTATTGGTGAACTTCATTCTAAAAGGTTATCAGGTTAATGACCCAAGCCCTTAGAAAATATCTGAGCCAATGGGATTCTGGAGCATGTGATGGGTACTTTCCTCTATATCTGATTATTGAGGGTGTCAAGTAGGACTGTCCTAAGTACAAAGTACAGCTTCAGAAATAATTTTCTAGTAATGGCTAAAATTCTTTTTCTTTGCCACTTCCCCCACCCACACAGTTACTGAGAAAAGGACAGATGTGGCAGTGAAATATTGACATGCTCTCTCTGGTGAGAGGCATATCAACCTGATTGTTATTTTATTCCTGTAATTTGAAAATCATTTATTTTTATTTATTTGGGTATGACTATGTACCCTTGGCTTTTTTAGAAATTAGTACATAGACTAAACTGGCCTCAAACTTACAGATCCAGCCTGCTTCTGCTTCTCAAGTGCTGGGATTAAAGACGTGCAACACCATACCTGGCGAAAGAAAAACATCATGTATTTTAATGGAATGAATGTAAATAAAGGCTCAGCATCAAGTTTTGGGCAGCCAGGAATCTCTGTGAGGCTAGGGTATACATTCCTACATTTCCCCGTTTTACAGATACCCCGCTTCTTTAAGTATTCAAATATCCTGATTAAATGATTTACTGGGTTACAAGGTGGTTCAGTGGGTAAAAGTGCCTGCTACCAAATCTGTCAGGCTGAATTTTATTTCGGGATTCACGTGGTAGATGGAGAAAACCGACTCCTTACAAGTTGTCCTTTGACCTTTGTCATGCACCATGGTGTAAAATGACACACTGCTCCCATTCTGCCAATAAATGTGACAAATATTTATTGTCAGGGAGAAGGCACGCCTGGAAGAGTGTTCGTATGATGCTTTTACAATAATCTAGGGTTGCTAAGTCCACGATAAATAAAGTCATTCACATATAAGTCTGAGACTGGATCATTTCATCGCTAGAAATTGGATATTTTAAAAATTAGGACAAAGATCAAAGAAAAACTAGATATGGACATAAACATTTACATTTTATATGAACTGATATACTGTAAAGAAGCCAGCGGGGGGAGGGGGGTAGAGGAGGAAAGGAGGGAGAAGGGAACAGGGATCGTCATGTAATTCAATCTTGTTTGTAATTCAAATATATAAAAAATAAATATTAAAAAAAAGAAGCCAGTCTTTCTTTCTGCCTGCTTGTCATCGCAGCTCCTGGAGGCTGAAGCAGAAGGATAGAAGCCAGTCTTTCTGCCTGCTTGTCATCGCAGCTCCTGGAGGCTGAAGCAGAAGGATCTTGAGTCGGCCACCAGTTTGGGCTACTTAGACTTAAACAAAACACAACAAAATCCAATTCTGTTTATGGAAATAGGTCCTTCCGTTCTGAGACCTCCCAGCCATACGGAGGCAGAAGAGAGTACTCTGGGTAAACACGGTGTGCAGGAGCCGCCGGACCACTCTGTGGTTCCTCCCAGAATCCTTTGAGACAGGACGGAGAGTTTAAAAGGCGGTGCAACTTCCGCTTCCTCGCGAGTGGGAGCGCGGCCGGGGTTGAGGACAGAGCTGTTGAGTGTGGTGTGGCGTGCATGGTACGTGTGGGCTGACTGTGAGCGTGGGTGTGGGAGTGCGTGTGCGCGCGTGGGGCGAGCAAGGCGAGTGTGTGTGTCCGCCCCGCGCCCCTCCCCCGCCTACACCTTGATCTTATTTGATCGGGTCGTGACCCCCGCCCCGCCGGGCCGCCCCGAAATGAAAAGCAGCCCTCCTGCGAAGCCCCTCTGCGGGGCGCTGTGCAGCGAGGCCCATGGGCGGTGGCAGTGCCGCGGCTCCCCAGGTCTCGGTCCTGCGGGCCCGGTGCTCAGAAGTGATGAATTGATCAGATAGACGAGGCCGGGCCTGTCCCAGCCGCTGATTACCGAGGCGATTCTGATCTGAGCCCGACCCCAGGACCCGGCCGCGGCCGCCTAGCCCGAGCTCGCCCCCGTCTGCGGCCTCGTGTGCTGACGCGCAGACACCCAGGGTGAAAGCGCCCAGAGCAGGCGTCATGCTGCCACTTGGAGGTGGAGGCCTTCGTTCCCGCTGCCGTTTTCCTTGCCCCCTCTGTTTAGGCTGCGTTTGTGTGGGGCTTTTTTTCTTAAGGGGCTATGCACTGTTTAGCCTCTGCTGAGGAATGTGTCCGTAAGAGAACATAAACTTACACCTGCAGGTTTCAGGGACTTACTCCATATATAGTGAATTAAAATGGGGTGTGTAGGGTTCAAGGCTTAAAGGGTGAATGTTTTGTCTTAAGGCGTAGTCCCTTATCTTTTTTTTTCCCCCTCAGGCAATGGACTTGGTTTGTAGCTGAGGAGGATCTTGAATTTTTGAACTGCCTACCTCCATCTCCTGGGCTCAGATTACAGCCACTTTACTAACACATTAGGCTAAAAGAAAAACAAAAAACAAACCTTTGGCATATGTATGTTCCTGAGAGTATGGATGCTTGGTTGTATGGGGCGTGCAGGTGCTTGAGGTTTGAGGTTGACTTCATCCCCATTTCATTTTCTGAGGCAAATCCTCTCCCTGAATGAGGAGCGTTGTCTTTGTTTTTGTTTTTTGTTTTTTTTTTTTTTCGAGACAGAGTTTCTCTGTCTCCCAGGTGTTGGGTTAGAGGTGTGCACCACCACCACCTGCCTTCAGCCTACTTACTTTTTCTTTTTTGCGGGGGGAGGTTCCGAGACAGGGTTTCTCTGTGGCTTTGGAGGCTGTCCTGGAACTAGCTCTTGTAGACCAGGCTGGTCTCCTACTCACAGAGATCCTTCTGCCTCTGCCTGGGACTAAAGGTGTGTGCCACCACCACCTCCTGGCCAGCCTACTTTATTACACACACACACACACGCACACATTTTTCTTTTTTTTTCTTTTTTGGTTTTTCGAGACAGGTTTTCTCTGTGTAGCTTTGGAGCCTATCCTGGCACTCATTCTGGAGACCAGTGTGGCCTCGAACTCACAGAGATCCGACTGCCTCTGCCTCCCGAGTGCTGGGATTAAAGGCGTGCTCCACCAACGCCCAGCTGCCAGCCTACTTTCTTTTAGACTCCAGGACCACCAGCCCAGAGGTGGTCCCATCCACCAGGGTAAGCCCTCCCCATCAATCACTTAAGAAAAGGCCTCCCTAAGATTGACTTGAGTTTCCTTTCTCTCAGATGACCCTAACTTGTGTAAAGTTGAGACAAAACCAGCCAGCACCATTGAGGAGTATAGACCCATGAAAAAAGGATGGAATCCTGTTATACAACTTATCTGGAACTGGGAACATTAAATAAAATCTAAACAAGTTGCTTTCATACAGGTTGATAGTATAACAGTGATGACCAGTGGCCAGGGAGAATTGTGACAGATAGATAGGGGAAAAGATTGGACAGTTGCTATCCATCAGGGAAAATAAGTTCTGATGTTCTATTGCAAGGTGAGATGATTACAAAAAATGTATCCTATATGTAAAACACACTGTGAGCGTGGGTGTGGGAGTGCGTGTGCGCGCGTGGGGCGAGCAAGGCGAGTGTGTGTGTCCGCCCCGCGCCCCTCCCCCGCCTCCACCTTGATCTTATTTGATCGGGTCGTGACCCCCGCCCCGCCGGGCCGCCCGAAATTTGTGACAGGTACCCTTACCATAATCTAGACATTACACAATGTGCAAATGTATTGCTAACTCCCAAATAGGTACAATGCATATGTAAATTTAAAAAAAATTAATTTAGGACTAGGGCAGTGCTTCAATAGATAAAGTATTTGCCACAAGAGTGCAGATCAGAGTCTAGAACCTGATCATCAAAATTCACGTAAAAGTGGGTGGGTGCAGCTCTGTGCCTGGTGGTGGTGCACACTTTAATCTTGGCACTTGATAGGCAGAGGCAGGTGGATCTCTGTGAGTTCGAGGCCAGCCTGGTCTCCAGAGGGAGTGCCATGATAGGCTCCAAAGCTACATAGAGAAACCCTGTCTCGAAAAACCAAAAAAAAAAAGAGCAAGCTATGAGAAGCGAGCCGATAAGTAGCACCCCTCATGGCCTCTATCAGTTCCTGCTTTCAGGTTTCTGCCCTGTTTGAGTTCCACTTCTAGTTTCTTTCAGTGATGGACTACCATGTGGAAGTGTAAGCCAAAAAACCCTTTCCTGCCCAACTTGGCTTTGGCCATGTCATTTTATCAAACCAACAGAAATCCCAAGACAGTTGTGTACATTTATAGCACATTTTCATCATGCTTGAAACATTCTACCAGTGAGTTTTTTTTTTTTTTTTTTTTTTTTTTTTTTTTTTTTTTTTTGTGTGTGTGTGTGTGTTTGCATGTGTGCACAAGTGGGAATGTGAAGGCCAAAGGATACCTGTGGAAGTCATTTCTCCCCACCATGTGGGCTCCAGGGGTCAAACTGAGGCTGCCAGGTTTGGCAGCAAGTGCTTTCATCCACTGAACCATCTCAGCCCATATATGATGTTTTCTTTTATTCATTTATTCACTGATGAGCAATTAATTCCATTTCTTAACTATTGTGAATAATGCTGCAGTAAACTTGGATTTATGGAAGTGCATATATCTTCAAAATACTGATTCATTTTCATTGATGCATAACAAATAATACACTTGCTGGGTGGCTCCTGTGGTTTGGCTTGGTTTTGAGACAAGATCTCAATGCTGTAGGACTGTAACAGTCCTGTCTGGGCATCCCAAGCATGCCACCAGTCCTGGCTGGTAGCTGTACACTTTTTTTATGTTTTGAAACAGATTATTAATAGCCTTGGCTGGCCCGGAACTCAGTGTGTAGACCAGCCTGGCCTTGAACTCGAGATGAGTTGCCTATGTTTTGAAACAGATCTATTATTAATAGCCTTGGCTGGCCTGGAACTCAGTGTGTAGACCAGCCTGGCCTTGAACTCGAGATGAGTTGCCTCTGCCTCCCCAGTGATGGGATTAGAGGTGTGTATCACCAAATGATCCGATTGCAAGCACACAGATTCACACACCCCTAGTTTTTACTGAGTGCTGGAAATCAAACCCAGGGTGGATTTGTCCACCAAATGCATGGTGGACAAAGCACTCTTACCAGCTGAGCTCCAGACCTTGTACATTCATGCATGGTGGACAAAGCACTCTTACCAGCTGAGCTCCAGACCTTGTACAAGTACTTTTGAATATGGTTGTCTTAATCCCATCCTAACTAAAGTGAGATGGTATCTGATGGTGGATTTGATTTGCACTTCTGTGATGGTGATATCAATCTTTCATATACCCATTGACCAATTGCATGCTGTCCTAGTTTGCTTTCTGTTTGTTGCTTTGATAAACTCCATGAACAAAAACAACTTGGGAAGGTGAGGGTTTATCTTACACTTCCAAATCACAGTATATCCTTGAGGGAAGTCACAGCAAGAGCTCAAGCAGAAACCTGAAGGTCGGGACTGAAGCAGTGACCATGAAGCATTTGAGAGGCAGAGTTAGGTAGATCTCTGTGAGTTCAAGGCCAGTCCGGTCTACACAGAAAGTCCCAGGACAGAGAAAACTGTCTGTCTCCCTGCCACTCTTAAAAATAATAAAATAAAATGCCTTACAGACTTGTCTACAGGTCAATCTGATGGAGGCATTTTCTCAGTTGAGGTCCCTCTTTCTAGTTTGTGTCACACTGACAAAAAATTAAGGAACACATAGGAGTTTTGCTTAATTTTTAGATGGGTCTCATTCTGTAGTAGAACTCACAGAAATCTGCTTACCTCTGTCACCCGGGCACTGAGGTTAAAGTTGTGCACCACTACACTGGCTCCAATGTGCTTTCTTAGCTGACAATCAATTGACTGGATGTGGAGGCTTTGTTGCTAGGCTTTTTTACCCTGCCCATTGGTCTAGGTATCTCTGTGCCAATACATGCAGTTTCTGTTCCCACCTTGATAGTGTATTCTTCACTTGCTCTTAGCCAAAAGGCCGAGAAGCGATGATAGTGTATTCTTAATGGAGGTACCATAAGCTTAAGATTTGGCTGTTGAAGATGTGAGTTCATGTGTGCAGGTGCATGTGTGGGTTCGTGCATGTGTGGGCGCCTGTGCACACCTGTATGAGGGCCAGAGGCACTGTCTTTTTTTCTTTCTTTTTTTTAAAGATGGGTTCTCTTCATAACTCTGGCTGTCTTGGAATTCACTCTGTGGACCGGGCCCCGAACACAGAGATCCACCTGCCTCTTCCTTCCAAATCCTGGAATTAAAGGCATGAGCCACCCTGTCTGGCTTCTTTGGTTTAAAATTTATTTTTTATATATATGTTTTGCCTGCATGTTATGTCTGTGTATTGCATGTACGAATGGTGTTCACAGAGTCCAGGAGAGGGTGGCAGATACCCTAGAACTGGAGTTACAACTGCTGTGTGGGTGCTGGGAATCAAATCCTGGTCCTCTCTGAAAGAGCAGCCACTGCTCTTAACCACTGAACCATCTCTCCAGTTTCCCCTCCCCAGCTTTATGAATTCGAGTTGTGGGGATTCGGGTCCTTGTAAGGCAGTTGGCTCCTGAGACATCTCATTTTTTTGTTTGTTTGTTTTGTTTGTTTTTCGAGATAGGGTTCCTCTGTGTAGCTTTGGAGCCTATCCTGGCACTCACTCTGGAGACCAGGCTGGCCTCGAACTCACAGAGATCCACCTGCCTCTGCCTCCCGAGTGCTGGGATTAAAGGCATGCGCCACCAACGCCTGGCGGGAGACATCTCATCTTTACTTGAAGTTTTTTGTAGTTCCATATGAATCATAGCATTGCCTTTCCTTTCTTGAAGAAAGGAAAACATTTTTGAGACAGTGTGTATATAACCCAGCTGGCCTTGGACTAGCAATTCCTCTGTCCCTACCTGCCTAGTGCTGAGATTGATTATAGGTGCAAACCCCGGCACATAGCATATAGTGCAATATTCAAAAGGTCCCAGCCATTTTGATGTGTGATCCTAACTGATCTTATAAATAAAAATCCAGAGTCAGATATCAAGGGTAAAAGCTGAAATCAGAGCAGCAAAGGGGCAGCCACCGTTGCTTCCTACCTCTCCAAATACTCAGCCTGAAAGGGCCCAGATCCTGTCTACACCCATCCTTATCATTTCCTGTGTACAACCCTTGTTGTCACTTCCTGTCTCCTCTCTGAATAGACCTTCAGACCTCTGTGGTTAACTAGTGTCCAGCTCTACCCTCTGATCTCCAGACAAGCTTTATTTGTCAGAACACAAAATACCACAACACCATTTTCCCTCATTCTTTTTTGTGACAACAGGTTCTTGCGATGACTGTGTGTGTGTGTGTGTGTAGATTCACATCCTTCTGTGTGTGCACCTGTGAGACCAGAGGTTGAAGTTGGGTGTCTTCCCACCCCCCCTTACTGTTTGTTTATTTGAGACAGGGTCTCTGATATAACCAGGAACTCAGCTGATTCAGCCAGACTAGCTGGCCAGCAAGCCCTTAGGACCTGCCACCACCACCACCACCACCATAGTCCCCACAGCACTGCAGTTACAGGCGCGTGCTGGGGATCCAAACCTCAAGTCCTCACACTTGCACAGCCAAGACTTTATCTACTGAGCCATTTCCCCAGCCCCGTGACTTGTAAGATCAGAAACCATGTTAATGCATCAAAATTTTAGGGACCTTGAAATCCAAACACTAAATTTTTGAACAATGCTTATGAGATTTGGTGCTCTATGCCACAAGCTAAATTAACATAGAAAAGAGAGTTGACTTCCAGGCAGAAGAGAGTCAGAGTCTGGAGGATGGCAAGGAGTGGAACCAGGAAAAAGCAGACTCAAGAAGTCTGAAGTTTGTTAATGTGTCTTTAGCAGTTAGCTACATGGTGCATTTAGTATCATAGTGGTAACATGCCCATTATGAAAACTATGTTTATTTCCTGTTCCCTTGGATGTGGCTCTGTGTAGCTGTGGCTTTACAAACTTGTGTAAATATTTGTGTCCCTTCCAAACCAGTGTCGTTCTGTCCTAAATCCTTCTAGCAAAATGACTTTCCAAGTTGCAACAGGATTCTAGAGTTGGGGCTTTGTTTTGTTTTTGTTTTTTTTTTTTTTGTTTGTTTGTTTTGTTTTGTGAGACAGGGTTTCTCTGTAGCTTTGGAGGCTGTCCTGGAACTAGCTCTTGTAGACCAGGCTGGTCTCAAACTCACAGAGATCCAACTGCCTCTGCCTCTCCAGTCCTGGGACAAAGGCGTGTGCCACCAACGCCCGGCTCTAGAATCGGGGCTTTTTCTTCATTTTAAGAGTGATCAAAAGTGCCATGGACAGCAGATACTTCAGGCTTTGTCTTGAACAAACCTATTTAATGAAGAAGGACGACTGGATGTTCCACCAAGGTGAAATTAGCCATGTTGTCACCACTAGGTGGAGAAGAAGCCACCATCATTTTTTCGGGAGTAACCTCCATTGGTGGCTGCAGTGTGAGGAGACACTGTGGAGAAAAGAGAATGGGATGAGCTGGAAGTTCATACCCTTTGCACCATCCCTTCTTTTAATCCCTCTATCAATGCGTTTATTGATATCGTGAAAAATTCTTGTAAAGATGTAAACTGGCATATGATGGACTAATGGAAGTTAGCTAAGGTCTTCATTCTCAAATTCATGTGTCACCTAGACCTAATCTACAAAACTGAATTCCCTAGCTCTATTGTCAGCATGTCCCTTAGTATTAATTTAGTAGGTGACAACTTAATCATTAATTCCCATCCTCTGTAGTCTCTGAGCTTCCTGCCAGCCAGGAACTCTGAGCCCCTGAGACTGCAGTACCACCCCATCTCCTAACCCTCACCTATGGATCCCTGGATGCTGTAGATGGATTCTTTCTTAGGGTTGATCCAGTATCTGATGTTAGCCTGGGAAGTGACGGGGGCCGGAGGACAGTGTAAATATTCTCCAGGAAACTGGATCTTGCTTCTAGAAAATGGTGGGAAGAGAATAGAGGACAGTGGTGTCAACCAGAAAGAAAACCATGAGAGGGAAAGATAATTTCATAAGATTTCAAGTCCAAGGTCCTAGTTACCTTCTAGAATTATCAAAGCATTTGTATTTCCTGATGAATTTAACTGGATATATGAACTATCTAGATGAGGATTTCTGCTCATTTTAGAAAATGAAATACAGAAATGAGGCCTAAGGATATAGGTTGGTGGTACAGCACTTGCCTAGCATGCATGATATCCTAGGTTTGATCCCCAGCACAATGAAGACAAAGACAAAAACAAGCTACTCCACAGATTAAAAACAAACAAACGACTCTGCCAGGTGGTGGTGGTACATGCCTTTAATTCCAGCACTTGAGAGGCAGAGGCAGGCGGATCTCTGAGTTCAAGGCCAGTCTGGTCTACAGAGTGAGTTCCAGGACAGCCAAGACTACACAAAGAAACTCTGTCTCAAAAAAAACAAAACAAACAAATAAACCAACTATGCACTTGTTCATATTGCCACGTGTCATTTTATCTTGTGTAATTCATGGTAGCATCCTTAGGCTAGAGAGGCTCTGCTTCCATCACTTACCCTTGGATATCCTGAATGGTCTCCTGGTGTAACAGTATCTCAGTTTTGTTCTTGAAGGCCTCTGTGTGGTGGTCATACAAGGCTGTTAAGCGGAAATCCAGGTCATCCTTTGGTATCTACAAAGGAATCAGTCCTCCCACGGTTAAACTTGGCCCTAGTCAGATTGCATCTAGATATTGTATTCAGATTGTATCCAGAAGAGCAGAAACCCACCAGCACCTAACATTGCATTGTGCATGATGATGGCTTCATAACAGGAATGACCTCCTATGGTTAGGCTAAGAGTGTTAAACTCACTGGTGACATGGAGAAATGGTCTTTGGGTATGACTAACCTTATCTCATTTATTGTTAAATTCAGCCTTTGGGTTTTTTTTTGTTTTGTTTTCATTTTTCAAAACAGGGTTTCTCTATGTAGCCCTGGCTATTCTGGTCTGTAGCCCAGGCTGGTCTCTAACTCAGAGAGATCTGCCTTGCCTCTGCCTCCCAAGTGCTGGGATTAAAGATGTGTATATGCAATACTACTGCCTGGCTCAGCCTCTGATTTACTACAGCGTTTGACAAGAAATTTGATAAGAATGATTTGGAGCAAGCCTTGTGACTTGATAGGTTGGTTTTGGATTTGGTAAGGTCTTGAGTTGGGAGCAAAGGAAAGATGCCGAGGCCCTTCAGACTACCTCAGGAAAGGATATTAACGCCTGGTGTGCTGGCATACGCCCATGATGTCCACACTCAGGAGGCTGAGGCAGGAGGATTGAGAGTTCTAGGCCTATGTTTGAGGTCAGCTTTGACTATGTAGCAATTCTATCTAAAACAAATTAATTCATTAATTTAAATAAAACAAGATATTTATTGAGCCCTAAGTGGAAAAAATAGAATTTCAATGTGAAGTACCTTATGATCAAAAAAGTAGGCATCTCGTCTCATGGAGTTAACTGTGGGAGTTGAGCTGAGCCGATTCCAGGGTTCCTGCTGCTGAGCAAGGTGAGTTGGGGTTTTATGCTGCAGGTTCTGCAAAAGGGAAACAACATGTAGGACTTGGTTACAGGAAGCCCTGCTGATACAGCATGGGTCACGTTCATCACCGTGCTCCATCTGAGGCCCTGCTGATGCAGCATGGGTCACGTTCATCACCGTGCTCCATCTGAGGCCCTGCTGATGCAGCATGGGTCACGTTCATCACCGTGCTCCATCTGAGGCCCTGCTGATGCAGCATGGGTCACGTTCATCACCGTGCTCCATCTGAGGCCCTGCTGATGCAGCATGGGTCACGTTCATCACCGTGCTCCATCTGAGGCCCTGCTGATGCAGCATGGGTCACGTTCATCACCGTGCTCCATCTGAGGCCCTGCTGATGCAGCATGGGTCACGTTCATCACCGTGCTCCATCTGAGGCCCTGCTGATGCAGCATGGGTCACGTTCATCACCGTGCTCCATCTGAGGCCCTGCTGATGCAGCATGGGTCACGTTCATCACCGTGCTCCATCTGAGGCCCTGCTGATGCAGCATGGGTCACGTTCATCACCGTGCTCCATCTGAGGCCCTGCTGATGCAGCATGGGTCACGTTCATCACCGTGCTCCTTCTGAGGCCCTGCTGATGCAGCATGGGTCATGTTCATCACCTTGCTCCATCCCATTTTACTTGAATCTCAGGACAGCTACAAAGAGATGAGCGATCACAGGGGCAAGACTCCCTAAGCCTTCTGAGTGAGAAATGATTGAAATGGGCCAGGAAAACAGAAGAAACTGATGGATCAAGATGCTGGGAGTAGGGGAGTGGGCTCAGCAAACAGATCCGAAAGACGGTATGTTCATACTTAGAAGTCCAAGTTTGGAGAAAAGATGAAAGTTCTAATTAACAGAAAACTGGAAGTGTATGGCTTGCTGGAGAGCTGGAAATAGACAAGATAAATCAAGTGGTCCACATACTAGTAGTTGAATTCTGTGGAAAAAGCCTGACCAAAAGGATCTACTAGGACAATATTTTTACCGAGGCAGGGAGGGTCCCATAGAGGCAATGGGAGACAAAGTCAGAAAGGGTTGTGTCTAGGTTAAAAATAAAGATTATCCAAGAAAGGATAAGTCGCCCAGCAGTGGTTGCACATGCCTTTAATCCAGCACTCGGGAGGAAGAGGTAGGTGGATTTCTGTGAGTTTGAGGTCAGCCTGGTTTACAAAGCTGGTTCCAGGACAGGCTCCAAAGCTACAGAGAAACCCTGTCTCGAACAACCAAAAAAAAAGAAAAAAGAAAAAAGAAAAAAAAAGTCATGGAAAGGAATGTCAGAAAGGGCTCAATGGACACTGGGTTCTATAAACACTACAGACATAAGAGAAAAACACAAGGTTGGTTTTCCTTGTATTTGAAATTGGCCATTTTCACCACTGTATCCTCAGTACCAAGCATGTTGACTTTACATTCACATAAAAACTAAGCTCTGATCAAACCAATGACTGACTCGAGTAAGCACTAGCATCTAGCCTCTTCTCCCTTCATGTAGCAAAGTACTGTGTGACTCAACTCAGTTAAATCTTAGTTGGACAGTAGGATCAGGCAAATAAGTAAACACAGTTCAAACACAGGCTCAGCTACCCCTGCCGTGGCCCTCAGCAGCTGTGCCACTTTTTTCAAGGGCCATACAAGGCTTGCCATCTCCTTTATTGGCACAACCAGATTGCGTTCCACTAAGGTAGCAGAGGCAGGTGGATCTTTATGAGTTCGAGGCCAGCCTGGTCTACAGTATGAGTTCCAGGACAGCCAGGGCTACACAGAGAAACCTTGAAAAAATAAAAAACAAAAAAAATAAAAGAAAACCAACTGTCAATTACTAGGGCCAGCCTTCAGACCTATCTTTGTTCACAGGGAGAAGTCCTTCACTCAGAAGGACGCTTCTCTGATCCAGCCCTTCCCTGTTCTTTGGATCTGTACCATTCCCCAAACCCTCATCTGGCCCCATTATCTCAACTATCCTTTTCTCAAGGTATGTCTGCCACTGTCACCTTTTCCACAGAACCATGCTTCTTCAAGGGTCAGCAATTACTGTCTCCCCTTCTTCACCCTTCATGTCTCCAACTCTTTGTAGTCTGGCCTTTCTTCCAGTGCCCACTGAAACTGTCCTGGCTGTGGAGCCATGATCTCTGTGGCTACTAGAAGGATCTTTCCCAACCCTGACCTTCTTTGATTCTACAAATACTTTTCCATCTTATGAGGCCAACTCCTGGTTTAACTTTGGTCTCTGTCTATTATACCTTCCTTCTCAGCTTAGCCTTCTGCTTCTGGGAGTGTTCCTTCTTGTTTTATTCTTATATTTACAGGAAAGGCTGCTTTTCTACCACAATTTCAAACAGCAAGCCAAACCTGTAGCTCCCAAACATACATAAAATACATACATACACTTCTGAAACGTTAGCGGACCCGAATAGCAGGCCAAGGAGACAGACAGAAAGCAGATTTCTCTGGTACTCGGTGGTCTCACCAGAGTTAGGTTATTAGGAGTCTGCTGGAGACCCCACTGGGAATTTGCTGAGGAAACTCAGTACCTTAGAAGCCCGCAGATTCCCCAAGTGTATGTCTTCTTCACTTAACGCAGGGTGAGGGTAAGATTCCGGAGTGTGAGGCATGCTTAAAGGCCCAAAGGCGCAGGCTTATTCTCAAGAGATTAGCGCAGTCGCAGCACGACCTGGCTTCTAGAGGATCCCAGGTCCCAATTGTTTGGAACGCCCAGTTTTTGGTTGCCAGGCAACTACCCCTGCGTTTATGACAGAGATGAATTCCCTTCGAGAGATGCGCCACCTGGCGGTTCAACTCAGAAGGCTCCTTGGGAGGAGGCTGTTGTGAATACCGAGGAAAGGAGACCTAGATAGGCACTCTGGAGCCTCAGCTGGAAAACGCTGGCCTCCCATAGCACGGGAGTTCTGTAAAAGACGAAAGAAGTCCGTAGGGTGATCCACAGGTTTCCTTTTCCCCCTCACCTATTTCCCCATTTTCAAAACAATGAGAGTACGAGAATGTAAAAACAAAAAAACAAAAAACAAAAACAAAAAACCCCCGAAGATCTCACGTGTACTGATTGAAAAACTGTCGATTAGGTCACTCCCCTTGTTGTTTAACTATGCGGACGCCAGGGTTACTCATCAGCCCGGCTGTAAAAACATGGATGGATTTAGCCGGTGGAAGGATGGAAGTAGCTTTTGCAGTTAGTGCTGGGGCCACTCTAGGAGACGATCCCTGGAAGGTAGCGATAACGTCTGTCTTCCCTTTATCATTTCACATGCCACGTTTACAAAATAAGATGCTTAGAAATAACCCCTGGCTGAGAAGAGCAATAGGGGTGAAATGTACTGCTGCGGATGATTTGGAGGGTTCTTCTACCGAGTGCTTTACGTAAGCCTGTTGGGTTAGGTGCAAACCCTGGCGCGCGCACTCCTACGCCGCGCGCCAGCGGTGGCGGCTACCATGGAGACCAGCAGGTGAGCGGCAGAGGCGCGCGTGGTCCCTGCCCCACCCGCGCTGAGCGAAGAGGATGCGGTTGTCAAGGCGACGTGGATAGGAGGAGGAGAGGACCGAGGGAGGAGGAAGGATGGGCGGCCTTGGCGTAGCCGCAGGGAGGTGACTGAAGCGAGTCCAGCCCCTTGCATCCTCCCCCTGTGTACCTCCCTCCTCTTTTTTTTTCCTCCTTCTGCCAGCATAAGCAGCCACCGCAGCACCTGAGCCGCTACTGCCGCTGGCTCAGGACAGCGCTATGGTTGAGCCTGGTCTCAACCCTCATCCCTCCGCCAGAGGCGGAGGAAGATCTGAAAGGCTCACATCCTCGCTTATGTGGCTGTTGCTTTGGGCTGGGACCACCTTCCAGGTGACCCTGGGAACCGGACCCGAGCTTCACGCCTGCAAAGAGGTACTGTCCACTCTACTCCCTTGACCTGATCTCACTTTGGTTAAAAAAAAAAAAAAAGAAAGAAAAAAAAAAAGAAGAAAAAAAAGCTTAGAGCCCGAAGAAGACCGTGGGGATCAAGGCTTAGTTACAGGGGCCACAGAGTTCAAATTTCTCTAGGAATGAGGAGTAGGGATTGTGGGGTGGGGTGGGGGAGCAGGTTGGCGTTGTTATGGGGGAGTCCAGCCCGTTGGAGGACTCCTGAAATAGATCACCCTCACAAGCTCTCGGCTATGGCTCAGCGGGTAAGGTCCGAAGGAATGACTGTCCCCAGAAAGAAAGAGAAAGAAGACAGGAGTTGCTTTCCATATGGGGTGAAATTTCCTTAAAAGTGATCGAAAGCACTGAGGCCAAACAGATAAAAGTGGGGGAAAGGTAGTAGATTGGAGTCAGGAGCCTTGGGGTTTGAGGGTGGGAAGCTAGCTCGGTAGCATGCCCCCCCCCCCGGTGTTAACACCCAGTTGCCCTCCGGCTGCTAACAGTGGTTCTTGCTGGAACGAACACCTTGCCTGTTCCCTTGCGCGTTTTGTTCAGTGTTCAGCATGTCCCGCCTTTCCTTGATTTTGAGTTCTTGAACGTGTTTTCTCCCACCCTCTCTTCTGAACTTCTGCTGACATATGCCATACGTCTTTTTCAAGGTGTCTCTAAAACGTTAGCACATAATTAAGACAGTAGATAGTGAATGTCTTCTAATAAAAAATGGTTTTTGAAAAATTTTGGGGGGCATATGACATTATGAATAGCAAAATTAGTTTCTGTATTTGTAAAATAATATATGCTTTGTGCTCCAAGTGACTTAAAAACCATATGGTAGAGGCAACAATAAAATATTTACAAGAACTATACTGGGCAAAGTAGAATAAAATTTATCTATGCAAAATGTGAGAGATTTGAAAACATGTCAAAAGAAGTAATGCTAAATGGCAAACCCAGTTAATGTTTTGAGGGGTTAAAGTAGTCCTTTTAAGTCACCAATGTTAGTTAACAGTGCTGGTTCAGTCCCATGAGAAGTATTATTATGTAGAGGTCCTAAGCACTAGCCTGTCTACAACATAACAAATCATAAAAGAAGCAAGGGAAATTTCTACACGAATAAAGTTTGACTTAAAGGATCCACTAATATTTAAAGTGACCTGTTGGGGATGGAGAGATGGCTCAATGGTTAAGAGAACTTGCTGCTTTTGTAGAGAATTTGGATTCAGTTCTCAACACCCACATGCCCATCTGTATTTCCAGTTCCAGGAGATCCGATGCCCTCTTTTGGTCTCTGAGGGCACTGCACGCATGTGGTACACATACGTGCATTCAGGAAAGCACTCATGCACATAGAAAATATTTTTTAATGAAGTGTCCCCATGGCTGGGTTGTATATACAGGTATTATTTTAACCTCTCAACACCTTAGGTAGGGTTGACAATTAGCTTTCCTCTTACAGTGCTTTAGACTTTTGGTATGTTTTCAAATCTCTCATTTTGCATAGTTTGTAGAGTGCTTGCCTAGCATGCATGAAGCCCTAGGTTTGATTCCCCAATACTGAATAAACAAGGCATAGAATTATGTGTCTGTATTCTCAGCACTTGAGAGGTAGGATCAGAAATTCAAGTGCATCCTCAGCTACATAGTGAGAGACAGGCTCCACCGTTCCACAGAGCCATTCTCTGACCTTCATTCGGAATGTGCATACTCATATTTATTTATTTTTTTTTTGGTTTTTTGAGACAGGATTTCTCTGTGTAGCTTTGGAGGCTGTCCTGGCACTCGCTCTGTAGACCAGGCTGGCCTCGAACTCAGAGATCCGCCTGCCTCTGCCTCCCGAGTGCTGGGATTTAAAGGCGTATGCCACCAATGCCTGGCGTGCGTACTCATATTAATATACATACCATAAATACACATATATATGGAAAAACAGCAAAAACTAGAAAATGACCCCAGTCAGTGGGCTTTCTAGAACTTTTACCAGTCCTAATTGTACCCTGGCCCTGGCCATATACATTTTTAACAAGCCACTTCATCATGATATGTTTTAAAGATGACCAAAGAATGTGATGATCTTCCCAGTGACACTGGTTCACTGGCCTTGGTGGCCTGTGGTTGAATTCCCTTGCTTAAGAATTAAACACCTTCATTTCCTTTGCGGAGGATAAGAAGTCTACCATTCAACTACTGATTGTCCTTAGATCTTTGTCCACTATGGACCATATGAGGCACTGAAGGCCTTGAACACTTACTCTGTTTTGGTTGAGAGGGAGGAAAGAATATTAGCTTATGAGCTCTACTTTGTATGCAAATTTTGTCCTTAGACCTGTTTGAACAACCAATATTTGCTTAAGGTTGAGTGAACTGAGGGCAGGGGAAAGGTGCTCAGCACTCCACAGCTTTAGGAGTTGTAGAATGGACAGAGAAGACTGTCTTGAAGACTGAAAGAAAAAAAAATACACCTCTAGTACAAAATGGAATTACTACACCCCTCTTCTTAGCTTAGATTCTTTAATTAGAACCACACCTCTTGCCAGGTTGAAATGGCTTTGGAGGCTTCTCATTGGCCATGGGCATCAGCAAGCCCTGTCTACACTATTCTTGAGCAAACAGCCTCTAAACACCCTTGATTCCAAAATAACGAGGAAAAGAATGAGTCCATTATTGTGGAGTTCTTCACTGGGCAATATGAACTGATCCAACTAGTTTGGGGGTTCCCAACCCTTAAAGGTGAGAATCTAGTTCAAGGGTGACTCACTATTCTTAGCTCTTGATTTTCGTATGGATTTCTTAAGAGCCTATGTAGATTATTAATACCAAGGCCTCTTATCAAGCCAAGCCTGATCCTAGAGACAGTAATGTTGTCATAGGTTATCTATAAAAGCCGAGGCCTCCATCTGGATTGAAGCAGGAAGAAGGGAGACTTGGCTTGAGGTTTTATTGAGGTGGCATCCTCCATTGAAGCAGGAAGAAGGGAGACTTGGCTTGAGGTTTTATTGAGGTGGCAGAGAACTGGGAGTGGAAACTGCTGGACATGTGCCAGGGTTTGGCACTCCTGTCACAGTTTTACAACAATCAGGGTCACCAGTGGAACTAAACATCCTGGATGATGTTTGTCTACATGAATCACTTCTTTAGCCCTGCACTGGCCCAGGCTAAGTGCTGACTAGGAGCCAAACATTTTTTTTTTCATAGTGCAACAAATCTAAATCAAGGAGAGGAGCAGAAAACTGCCTTTGACACGGCCTGCCTAGCCCTGAGGCTGCTGTGCTAATTGCCCCCAGAGGGACTTCGCAGTCCATACTGAAAGGCCCAGGGGATCCTAGGAATCTTGGCAGACATGGATTGAAATAAAATTTGTTGAGTGAGTGAAGACTGTGCCGTTTAGTAAGGAATCAAGATCATTAACTTCTGACAGCCTCAGCTTCCTGTCCTATTAAATGGAGGGGGGTCATATCCATCTCACAGGGCTGTTGTGAGGACCGAATCGAATTAGACAGCACATGTCAAATACCTAGTACACACTCCCAGGATACCAAAGGCCCTTAAGAAACACTGGGAGGCAAGCAAGTCATGTACACAAATAGTAACATATAAACATTGACCTAAGGTTAATGTATAGTCAGCAGGAGTGGTGAGACAGAGGCGAGTAGAAAAGAAAGGAAAAACAAAAACAAAACAAAACCTCACCAGAATCATTGTTACTTGGCCGGCTTCTAGAGTAATCAGTTGTACTTACTGGGCATATATGGAGGCAGGGTGCTTTCTAGATAGAGAGAGGAACCCAAGGAAAGTTCAAGAGATGGAAAAAAACAGAGTCTGGGAATTACAAGTACACCGACTGGCTGAAACATGAAGTGATGTGAGGATAGTAGGAGATTTGGTCAGAATGTTAGAAACCAAATAGAGAATCCATGAAGAATCTCTGGCCAGGATAAGTGCCTGCTCAGGGTGTATAAGATAGATATGGTCAGCCCAGTGTTGGTGGTGCATGCCTTTAATCCCAGCACTTGGGAGGCAGAGGCAGGCGGATCTCTGTGAGTTTGAGGCCAGCCTGGTTTACAGAGTGAGTTTCAGGACAGCCTCCAAAGCCACAGAGAAACCCTGTCTCGAAACAAACAAACAAACAAACAAACAAACAAACAAATAAAAAGATGGATATGGTTGAGGGTTAGGGCTTTCAGTTGCTAGAGTGTTTGCCTGGCTTTCAAACCCCAACATTATATAAACCAGGCATAGTGGCTCGTACACTGCTGTAATTCATTTTTTTTAAAGATGTGTGCTCTTATGTGTGGGTTTCCATAGAGCCTAGGTGTGTCAGATCCCCCTGGAGCTGAAGTTACAGGGCATTCTTGTGAGCTGAATTTGAGTCCTCTGCAAGAGCAGCATGTGCCCTTGCTTGATAAGCCATCTCTCCAGTGCCACCCCCCTCCTGTCAGTCTTAACACTTCTGTCCATAGAGAGGGGAGGAATTCAGGGTTATCCTGGGCTACACAAAAAATTCAAGACCTGGGCTATGTGAGACCTTGCTTAGAAAATAAAAGGAAGGAGAGAGGGGAGGGAGGGGGAGGAGGGATAGAAGGAGAAGGAAGGAGGAGGAGGAGGAGAAGAAAAAGAAAAGAAGGAAGAAGAAGGAGAAGAAGAAGAAGAAGAAGAAGAAGAAAAGAAAAGAAAAGGAAAGGATGGTTGAGTTGGACAAAAGCTCAGCACAGGAGACAAAGTGAAGAAGCCAGTTCTGGTTTTACCTGAGTTTTCAAAGGGACTGTGTCTGTTAGAGTCAGTGTGATAAATACAAAGAAAGGCCTAAAGAGGACAGACAGGCCGAAGGGAGAAGCTGGAGGATGTAGATGATCAAAGGTGTAGGCTACTGTTGAGGGGCAAGTTCATTTTTTTGGTCAGGATTTTAGAGTAAGGGAATGATAGTGGTTGCTAGCCTAACACAGAAAGAAGGCACAGCTTTGGTGAACAGGGTGATTTGTCCTTTTTCT